TGATTGCTCGTAGGCAGACCAGATTCTGTTGTCATCCACAGCGTTTTCATTGGCTGATTTTTAGAAGTAGGCTGGTAGGCCTTTCATTCTAGTTGGTCTCAGTCTGGAAGTTTCGCTGAAACCTCTCTACCATGGGTGGTGCTGCTGGCATTTGAAATACCAATGATATAGCTACCAGCATCACAGCAACATGCAAGCCACCAGAGCACGACAAACTGACAGACGGTCCTCATGGCTATGTCCATTTTAATTGCGGAAGGTGACTAAGATGCTCAGCAGAGTCCCCACTGGATGTCCACTCCCCTTTAGTCTAATATCTGATGTTGTCAGTGTCAACACATAGAGTCACACAGCTAAGCCCCCAGGCATTTCAACACTCAGTCTTACACAGGGTTACTGCTCACCAAGTAAGTACTTTAGAATGTCCCAGTTTTTACTGATTTAGATTTTAGTCTTCATCTCGGAGATTTTTGCTAGCCATCTTGTACTTCATCAGCTACTCAGAAGGGCGACAATGGTGGAGCTGGGAAAGTCACTCACAACTTGTTGAAACTTTGTTTTGTTTTTGATGGCAGGCATTGAAGTCATGCAAAAAGAAATAGGGAAATGGTTGATAGAATTTTCCAAGTTCTGGAGCACTGAATTCTGGGATTATTGTATGGGGGGACCTCAAGAACAGAGCAAGCAGAGCTGCTTTTTTATTGCAGGAAAGAAGGAAGAAGAGCTTGACAAAGAATGGACAAGAAAAAAAGAGTATCTGGACTAAGGAAGAGAAACATGAAATAAATAGAAACCGTTCTTAAAACTTCACAGACTAGCATTTTCTTTATGCCACACCACTGAAGGTTCCACATTACGTGCCTAAACTAGCAGACCTCATTTCCCGTAAGTTTCCAGTGGCATTTTTTGAAGCATGTTCTCAGCCATTACTTATGCTCATGAGTCAATCAGTAAGTCGGAAACCCTAGGAATGTGGGAATAAGCACAATAGTCTCTTTCTCAAGCATCTTACTTTCCTTTCAAACCACAACCCATGGCTGTCAGCTCAACTCAGACTCAAGGTGACTCTGTGGACAGAGGAGAAGGTGTCCAAGGGTGTAAATCTCTATGGGAGCAGATTGCCACATCTTTCTCCCATGGAGTTGCTGGTGGGTTCAAACCACTGACAAGCATTTTAACTGTGGCACCTATGCCTGTTGGGGGATACAAGTCACTGCCAGGAATTTTACAAAGAGGGTACTAATAAGTGTTTGACAGAATGGGACCTGGAAACCGATTGCCTGAGGGAGTTCCTTCTTCATCAGTTTCTAGCTATACATCTCTGAGGCAAGTATTTAACATCTCTGGCCCTGGCTTCCTCATCTGCAAAACACAGAAAATAGGTATTTCCCTACTAATTGATAATCGAATCGATATAAAGTACGTAACACATGGTCAGAACTGTTTGAGTGTTAGGAAGTAGTAGTAATATCGCCGCATAATAGCAAGAGTTTTATAAGTAAATTGTTAATTTAATTTTATTTTTTTTAAGTGCTTTGAAGCTCGGGAGGAACTGGAGGTCCTATCTGTGGGGATGAGAGGGATCAAGAGGGTTTCAATGAAGAAGGTAGCACTGAAGACCGGCCCTAACTAATCAAACACAAATGACTGAAACAGGAAGCGCCACTTGAAATCAAAATCCTCTGGTGATCATTGTGGGGTTAGAAAGTGAGGGACTTTAGGAAAACAAAGTAAGCCCATGAAATGAGACATTATTTTCCAGGATTGGAGTGAAAGCTGCTAATTGCCATAACAACACACCCAGGAAATGATACAAAGAAGAAAATCTGAGTATTGCTAGTGAGAAGGCACAGTATCCCACTGAATCCTGCTCTATACAACTGTAATCCAAAATGACACCAGGGCTTTTAATGGGACTTAGCAAGCTTTAGACACACCATTTCTTAAACTTAGCCTCAAATTTAAATCACAGGGCTGTGACTCAAATCTCCAATGTGCCCTTTACACGGTATTGTTCAAGAAAACATGCCTGTCACTGTGGAGAGAAACCATATGCCCTTTTATTTTGCAAAGTATAATGAAAAGGTGTCCTCTATTGTTACAAGTGCAAAGTCACAAAGTGATTATGACTATGATTCTCTAGAAGAATGAAAACAAAAACCCTATTTGATTTTGTATCACTCACTTAGAAATGCTGTCCGACCACACTAATGAACATTCTGAGTATGGGAACTTGTGTCCCATGCTCTCGGCTCTGTTTAAGTCGAAAGGAGCGTGGCTGGAATCTCATCATTTATAGATTTAAAACACAGTCCCTCTGAATGCATTTATTTCTCAAGGGTTTATGGAGCCGTGCTACCTTGTCCTTGCCAGCTTCATACAATATTAAACTGAAGAGCTGAAATCACATTGTGACTTGGATTCTGCTCTTGCTTCCAAGCTATAGAAGCTCTGGGTAAGGAAAATGAATTGACAAAAGATCTGGTGTCACCTTTTATGTCTCCCTTCTATTGAACTATGAAAGCCTACCAACTCCTTTTCCCATTCATTTCAATTCACCCTACTCTAAGTTGCTCTAAGAGTCTTGGTGTAGCACTGTAGGATAAGCACTGGATTGCTCATCACGAAGTCGGCAATTCAAAACCACCAGTTGTTCCTTGGGAACACTATACAGGGTCACTATGAGTCAGAACTGACTCCACAGCACTTAATAACCACAATAAGTTTCTCTTGGAGTCCTGGTGTGACACTGTAAGATAAGCACCAGTCTGCTAACCACAAGGTCAGCCATTCAAACCCACCAGCTGCTCCTTGAAAACTCTATGTATACAGGGTTGCTATGAGTTGGTACTGACTTGACGACATTTAATGACAACAACAACATAAACTTCTCTCAGGTTTTTCTTATAACCCATCCTGAAAATAGTCAAAGTTCTGTCATCCTCTTAGGGTTGTGGTAAATCAATAAGCAGGCCTTTGAAATGTTTGTGGGACAATGACATGTAAAGGTAATGGGATTTTTCCAGGAACACTTTGAAGTCCCTTTGTATTTGAATAAATATGAGGTTTAGGGAAGAAAGGAGGAAAGAAGGCAGAAGTAAGAAAAGAAGGAAATAATTTAAATCTCCTACTCAAGAACCTACGATGACTATTTTCTCACAGATCAGATCTAAATTCCTCACCAGGAACAGCTGCTCCCACACATCCTACCCAACTTTAAAACAGAATATTTCTGACCCCAAACCTCAGATTGAACTGACGTTGTTTCCTCACTGAACTATAGTGAATCTCAACTAAAGCTACATCATAATCACCCGGGTCTGTAGAATCAGACTCTCCAGCAGGGAGGTCTCCCCAAGTCCATTTTTAAAGGGCCAAGCAGGTGATTCCGTACCTCACTTGTTAAGAACTACTGCCAAGTAGCTATTTCCTACAGGTATTCTCAACCAAGACTCTCTTCTGGAAGTGAGCCTCTCTAGACTACAACAATATCTGGTTTCTTCTCTAGTTTCTTATTCTGGAGTTCAAATGCTTTAAGCCAGAAGGGAACTTCTATCATTCTCCTGCTGGCTAAAACACACAGCTATGTTTTGTTTGATCCACATGTAGTATTTTGAAAATGGTTTGTGAAGCTCAGGAGGGCTTGTGTTCTCCTTACCACCCGACTCTCATGCAGCTAGACTGTGTCCTGGCCCATGCAAGGATGTGCATTTGCAATATAGATCTGCATTTGCAATACTTAGTTTTGTAGAAATTTACAGCACAAAATGCAAGTCAAATGATTTTTTCCTGTTTAATAGATGTGGCAGGAATTATTTCCTTCAGATCTTAAAGAAGAACAGAGCTTCTGTTATGGATTGAATCATAACCCCACAAAATATGTGCTGTAATTTCTAACTTCTATGCCTAGAGTCATAATCCCATTTGGGAATGCATTCTCTTTGTTAAATTAATGAGGCAGGATTAGTGTAGCATATATCTTGAGTCAATACCTTTTTATACATGGTTTAGTGGTGGTGGTCATGTGCCATCAAGTCGATTCCAACTCATAGCAATCCTGTATAAGATTTCTGGGGCTATAAATCATCTTTCTCCAGCAGAGCGGTTGGTAGATTCTAACTGCTGACCTTGCAGTTAGCAGCCCAACTCATAACCCACTGCGCTACCCGAGTTTGTTTTTTCATATATAAAAGTCATGAAACAAACCAGCTAGGAAGCAGAGAAGGGGGAAGAGAGAGAGAAAGCCACATGAAGATCATCAGGGAGCAGAGAGACAAGACTGTCCTGCAGAGTTGACAGAGCAAGCCTTCCCCGGGAGTAAGACTGTGCATTGAGACTTCCAGTCTCCTGAACTATAAAAAAATAAAGTTCTGTTTATTAAGTCACTTACTTATGGTATTTCTTTTATAACAGCACTACACAACTAAGAGAGAATTTGGTACCAAGAAGAGGAGTTGGCAGTGTGCTCTAAAAAATACTAAAATGTAGAAGTGGTTTTGAACTGGGTAGTGGATGGAGGCTGGAAGAGTTTAAGGTGAAAACCTAGATTGCCTTGAAGAGATTGCTGGTGGAATTCGGGATGACAAAGGCAGTTCTGATGAGCACTCAGAAGGGGCTATAAAGTCTCTACCATTTTACAGAATACATATGGCGCAGGCAAGAGAATGTTGCTAAATATGTGAATGTTAAACATGCCTCTAGTGAGGCTTTAAAACCAAATGATAGTCATGTGATTGGACAATGGGGGAAAGGTGATACCTTTTGTGCAGTGACAAAAAACATGTCTGAATGACGTTCAATAGTTTGGTGGAAGACAGAACTTGTAAATTATGAATTTAGATATCTGCTGATGAGATTTCTAAGCAAGATCTTAAAGGGACCACGTAATTATTCATAACACTTGTGGGTAAAATTTGAGAGGAAAGAGATGAACTTAAAAATGAGCTGTGACTCTTCCTTTCTTCGCCATCCTGTGAGTGCTGCTATGTTCCATCTTCACTATGGCTTCTCATAAAACTTTCAGGATTAAAAGAATACTGGCCAAGAAAGAAAAGAAACAATTATTTGTCCCATTCCCCCAATGGATTCAAGTGAAAACTGGTAATAAAATCAGATACAACTTCAAGAGAAGACACTGGAGAAAAACCAAGCTGAGTCTCTAAGGAGTCGCACATGTGATAACACAGCACATAACATATCCAGGTCGTAGCACTCTCCCACAGCAAGTTCAATTTTGACAAGATTTGATCAGTTGAACTAGTTTTGCAAAACTTCTGGTTTCTTCCTTAATTTTTACGCTTGCGCATTTAAAGAGGTTGTTGGCTAATAAATATGTGAAAACCTTTGGTTTGAAAAAAAAAAAATGAGCTGTGTAAAATGAAAACACAATTTAAATATTTGGCAAACCATGTTGTACAAACTAAGGACCTGTGTCCTAGAATTTTCACCAAGGACATGGCCACACAATCTTTTGTAAAAAAGATTAAACATGGATCTAACCAACAACCACAGCAGAAAAACCATCAGCTTAGACTGAAGGTAATACAGAAAGAATGAAATGGAAGAACATTGTCTGCCTCTTGGAATTCTATAGGCAGGAAGCAAGCCAAAGGGGCTACATTTGTTGTCCTTCATGAAAATAAAAGAATCGTCCCTGGAAACACTCAGAAATCAGCAGACATATTGGAAAGAGCAAAGGAAGTAGGGTCTTCTTGATTTCAAAGGGTGGGGCCACAGTCTCTTGTATCTCTGAAACTCGGCTCTGAAGTGTAGGCTTGCCACCACTGTGTACCAGGGTTACCATCTAAACCTGAGGCGATGGGGCTGCCAGCAGTAGAGGAACAGGGCCTGCCAGGGCCAAGGAAGTGTGGTTGCTACTCAGATGGACTAGGAGAATGAGGCCACCTGAGGCTGAGTTTCTGTCCCAGTGGGCCTTGAAGATGGAGCAGAAGCCCAGGGCTAAGGGGCCTCCACCCAGAATCTAAGGGCCGGGCCAACAGAGTCCAAAGGGTGGGGCCATTGCCCAGATGGTGTCAAAGAAGAAAGGATTGTTTTCAAACCTATAAAGCTATGTGGCATCCTGGGGTGCCGCTGAGGGTTAATGCACTAGACTGCAAAGTTACCTTGAAACCACAAGGTCAGTGGTTCAAGCTCAGAAGTTGCTCCTCAGAAACTCTATACAAGGTCTCTATACAGGGTCTTTATACAGGGTCTCTATGGGTCAGAATTGACTTGATAGCACTTAACAACAGAGATCTAATGTAATTTGTTTTGCTGGGTTGTGGACTTGCTGCCTGTTATCTCTTGATTTCCTCCAATTTCTTCCATTTGTGATTGAAATGTCTAATGTGTGCCTCTTTCACCATATTTTGGAAATAGATAACTTGTAGTCTACATTTCACACGTTCACAGTTGAAGAGAAATTTTGTCCCAGGATAAAATACGTCTAAAGACACACCCATGGTTGGTACAGGAATTTAGAAAATGTGATTTGGGGCTTGGAGTTGATTGAAGATCTGTGGGATGATGTACATACATGCTTTGCATGTGGAAAGGACGTGAATTTTGTGGGCCAAAGAGTGGGATGCTATTGATTAAATTGTGTTTTCCCACAGTTATGTATTGTAATTCCTAACCCCGGTGCCTATTATTGGAGTCCTGGTGTGGCACTGTGGGTTAATGCCCTGGATCACAAGGTCAGTTTGAACACTGTGGTGCATAACAAAACAACAATGCCTATTGTTGGTTATGAGCAGAAATCAACTTGAAGTCAATGTGGTTTGGGTTTTCCGTCTGTGGTTGTAGTCCCATTTGGGACCATGATATCTTTGTTATGGAAATGATGCATTATTAGCTTAGGCTGTGTCTTGTGCCCCAGAGCCAGCACCCTAAATTTGGACTTATAACCTCTACAATTGTGAGAAAATTTGTTTGCTAAAGCTACCCACTTGCGGTTTATCTCTGTTATGGTATCACTAGACAACTAGGATAGCTTTGGACTTACAAGGAAATTTTGTTTCTATTCTCTCTTGCCTTTTTTCTTCTAAAAATGAGGAGTCTGCTCTAGATTTTGCCATGACTTTATAGTTTCCCAACAATTATTGAGTCAATTTCAACTCATAAGGACCCCATGCATGACAGAATGAAACACAGCTCAGTAGTCTTGGCCATCCTCATAATTGTTGTTTATATATATACAGGGTTTTGAACTGGCAGCCTTGTGATTACCTGTCCAATGCTTATTGTACAGAGCCACTACTCTCTCTCTGTCTTTATATATATGTATACTGTTGTCATGTGCCATAGAGTTGGGTCCAACTCACAGTGACTCTGAATGGAATTTCCAAGGTTATAAATGTTTGTAAGAAGAGAAAGCCTTATCTTTTTCCCAAGGAACACTTGGTAAGCTTGAACCGCTAACCTTATGGTTCACAGTCTAGTGTTTATCAAACAGAGTCACTACATACTCTCTCTCCCTCTCTCTCTTTCTGTATATGTATATATAGAGAATGCTGATTGCCTACTGATTATGAATCAGGCTGCGAACCTCACAGTCAGCAGTTCAAAACTACCAGCTGTTCTGCGGCAGAAAGATGAGGCTTTCTGCTCCCTATTCAGGGTCACTATGGGTCAGAATCGACTCGGCGGCACTTAACAACAACAACAACAACATGTCTTTAGACGTATTTTATCCTGGGATAAAATTTCTCTTCAACTGTGAACGTGTGAAATGTAGACTACAATACTGTTGTTGGTAAGTGCCTTAGAATCAATTCTGACTCACAATAACTCTTTATAGGGTTTCCAAGGAGCGGCTGGTGAGCTTGAATCACCAAGCTTACAGTCCAAA